CCGGTTGAGGAGCAGAGTTGATGAGAGTTTGAAGCACACCTCGAAGTATTCCTTTACAATACCGAAAGATTATCGGGTGTACACACACGATGATAATTTTGATATTGATCGGTTTGGGAAACACCGTTATCTCGCGAAAGATCACAAAATCCAGATACGCGTTACTGCGGCTCAAACGCCCGATGGTGTATGCTCATAATCCATTATAGCATTCGAGGAAGGCCAGAGTCGCGAGGGACAAGCTTTGCGCTCTCAATATTGCTGTAAATTGAAATGCTTCGCCATCAGCTTTGTACAAGTACAAATGCTTCATCCTATACAAAAGAGAGGGAGAGAGAGAGAATAGACGTCCGATCGATGTTACGTTGGTTATTGTCCGCGTAACAGATCGGCGTGCAGAGTGTGCACTCGTATATATAGATATGTACACCCTCCTCCATCACGCGATTAGATGTATATATATACATTACCGGGGCCCTCTGGATGCGGCTGTATTTTATCTTCCCAGCATCTCTTTGTCTCCGATCAGCCGATCTGCTTTCTTTTAATCGCCGCCAGCTGCTCCTCTCTCGTGTCCTGCCCCCCTCCCCACCCCCACCCCCGATATACCAGCATCAACAACAACGCCCGGTCTCTCCATCTCCCTTTACCGGAGCGTTTTATAAGCGTGGCGTAATTGTTCGCTCTCGTTCCTCATCGTGACTCTTTTTTCGAACTCGCTCGCGGGGAAAAGTCAAGCTGTACACGTATACGTATGTGTGGCCGTGTGCAACAGCCGAGGGCGAGCTTTTCTCCCCCCCCCCTCCCTCTGTCTCTCTTGCTCTTTAAAAGGGTTTTGCAGCACGGCTCCGGGCGTGGTCGAGCTCGATGCGCGAGGAACCGATTTGTTTTGTAACCCCCCGACAGAGAAATATATAATATGCAGGTGACGCGTTATACATATTTGAACGTGATGGGAGAGCTTTCGTTTGGTGGTGGTTGTCGCTACTTTTTTTTTTTTGTTAAATAAGACCTGTCATAAGATATTTCGATTTCGTCCTTTTTAGAAAAATTTTCTCATAACATGAGCTATGATTTCTGTTGGTAAGTAGTCCAGAAGCTTTATTTCTGTTCACTAAAGGTGACGCTCTTATAAATTACACAGTCANCCTCTCTTTTTTTTTTTTTTTTTTTTTTTTTTTTTTTATCGAGGTACCAAAAATTATAAGAAAATACATCGACTCTTTTTTGTTTATCGATGTACTTATGAGTTTGCATAATTTCGATGGAGTAAGTACACACATATATATTTGGCTAACCTGTTTTTACCGCAAGCCTAATGCCTACGTCAGTTTTTTGCGTAAAAATTAATTGTCTGAGAAATGGGGAGGAAAAAAAAACTTTCACGTCATCGCGTACATGAGAATTCGGGATTTCGCCCACATGAGGGTACCTTGTACTCTACTTCGACGCGATGTCTTGCGTAATTTATGTCTCATTTAAGTAATCTCGTTTCAAGGTACACAATTTGAGCACACAATACATGTACATGTATTTGACTTTGGCGTTCACATTTTACGTAAATCTTGTGGGAACACGGAGAGTTTTCCTAAAATAATACTTGAAAATCGTTGACTCGTGCCATCATATTCATCCAACTCGAGCAATTACTTTTTTGCACGATATGCCCCGAAAAATTCACCTAGTTTTTATTACTTTGTACCCGTAATAGCTCAATATACTCGATGGAAAACCGTAATGTCCATGTCACCCCCTGAAACTTTGTTTTACCTAATAATCAATCTACAGAAGGGGAAAAAAAAGTCGAAAATAATAGATTATACAGGATTCGCAATCACTAGTAAAAGGCTAATTGACTTCACCGTCGTAAATTCGCATATATGTATTTACGGCGTTGCACTCATCCCTTATGCCGGATATGGGCTCGTTAAATAAATAAAACGTTCCGCATTGTTTGCCGTGCGCAACCTAATCGCGCGTTACATCTGTATTTTATCTGTCCCGTAATAAACGTTACAGCCCAAGCGTGTAAGTGTACATGTATGAGCAAACAGAGCCTTGGAGAGGCAAGAATCGTGCAGTTCCTTTTGATGCCAGCATCACGGAAAACAGTCACGGGCCGCCTTTTACCATATCATATTGTATCGTATACGCACGTGTACCCACGTATATACTTTTCCCGTCGCGTGGGCGGGTCTACGTGCATGTCGTCCGTTTTCTTTGTTTTCCCGAGTGCATAAATATATAATATAATATACACGGGGTGGCGCGGTGGGTGTACAGGTTGCATCATTGGCACCTTACGGCTGTTTGATCTTTTCTCTCTCCCCCCCCCCTTTTTTTTTCCAGAACCAAACGACCGAGAGAAGTGCCTGCATGCACGGAGATAAATTTTCGTAAGTACCGCACCAGCGCTCGTTAAAGAGGCTTGTGTATATTATATCTATGTTGTCCATGTCCATTTGTTGTGCAGCGCAGTGCTTTGAAAAACGAGGTATAGCCCGATGGGTCGCGTTTTTTCTTCCTCCCGAGCCTTTTCGATTGTAATCGCGCCAATAAATTTCGTCCCGTTTTTCGTCAATGTTTCCCCCTCCCCCCCCCCCACCGTTGCGGCCTTTTGTCACATTAAACCGTCGCAATCCCATTGGGATGGATTTGTCCATGCAAATTAATCGCCGCGCGTTGCCGAGCTAATGACGCATCGGGCGCGATTTAAAAAGCAGCTCGCACACATGCGCCAGGGTGTATATTACATTTACACATCCCCATTACATTATGACACAAGTGCAACGTACGTATATATTTACTTGTGCACGCGAGACGGCGCTGACGTATGTACGTCCCTCGCGTGGCGATTAAATCAAGTGTCGAAACGATATTATACCATAACATTATATCCCAGATTGCACTAACAAACGCAAAAGTGCGAGTAATTGATTGCCGGCCATACGTGTGTACCTACGTCCATATACACATCTGTATTATTACGGAATATCGCGTGTATGATTTAGGTGTATACATATTATATACGTGTAAGACGAGAGAAAAGAATATATCACGTGTAGTTGTTGCCTGCAAACGTAATAACGTGTACGTGTTAATGGTACGTGTGTGTATGTATACGTACACCTATGGAGTAAAGTGGGCACGCACAGGAAATTACGCGCGTCTGTAGATTTTCTTCGCGTCCGAGAAAGGGAAGGCGCAATTATTCGCGTGACATTGATGATCTTAACGACAATTACGGATGATTCGTTTGCCTCCTCCGTGGAATCGTTGGGTGATTTATTATTGTTTTTTTTTCGGTTCAGGAGTTGCTGCGATAGATGTAAGGGGGTGAGGTAAAAAAGCAAAAAAAAAACATGTTGAAAAAAGTATGCACGAGAGAAATGAGGGGTCATAAACCGCCACCTGTCACTTGACCTATTGTCGGTGGGAAGCCCCCCCAGCCCCTCGTAAAAAAAAAAAATACATAATATGGTCGGACACGCGTGCCCACACGATTCGACAGCTATTATTACACGTATACACCCCACGGCCAAACGGGGTATTAGAGTGGTATTTTAAACGCTGCCCCGAAACTCTCCCGATCTTAGGGATACGTAATAGTACTTGAAAATACGGATTATCCAAAATACGATTCCTGTTTGAAAAATTGACCTGGTAGGAGATGTGTATTGAACAAAAGAGGACAAATAAATGTTTGCTAATAGATGGCAGCACCTCCAAGCTTACCGGCCGCGCGCCGCGGACTTTCGTAGTTTTGCAGGATTTGTTCCTTTTTCGAGCTATAATGTACCTGTATACTTACCTACCGCAAAAAGCCAATATTACTGTGTGCGCGTGTTACGTAATTTCTATATACGAAAGAAAAAAAAGGCGCACGAAGACTCGAGTCTACATAGGGGGGGAAGCGATTCCAGCCAAAGGGTAAAAACGTAAGCTCCGCTTTGGCTCTATAAAGTACAGTAGCGCGAGCGATAAAGAGGAGCGGACAGGCTTGTAGCAGCGACTGGCAAAAAAGAAGCGAACAGACGAAATAGATGTTTGTCTCCCTTCGCCTGAAAAAAAAAAAAAAAAAAAAAAAAGGAAAAAAAAGAGGGAGGTATGTATGTATACAAAGGAAAGATGGATCGGAAACCCAAGCGTCCGAGCTGCAGCGTAGGAAGACGCTCGTTGACCCCTGACGGCTTCTTCTTCTTCTTTTTCTTCCACAACCGATGTTGCCTGGATCTCCCCTCATCCTCCTCGTTTCTTGCCTCCGATGTTGGCGTCACGAAAATCCTTCACCTTCACCTTATCCCTCCTCCCCCCTTCCCTCGTTTCCTCCTGTATCTTTTGCTTTTGGCTCGAGCATTGGCAATTCTCTCTCTCTTTCTCTCTCTTTTTCTCTCTTGTGGGAAATTTTTACCGTAAGCCTCTTACGTTTCCTCCATCTGGATATACACACTACCGTGTACCGTATTTTTTTGCTCTGCCTTTTATTGGGTATACCGATTCTCGTTGCTTTATTTTTCATCCATATGCCTCAAATATATTATTATACCGATTAAGTAACGAATTCAGACCGGTTACGGAGCAAACTATGGGCCATTCAATTTTAGATATTGAATAATAATACGCATAGGCACCGTGTGTGAACCAATTTGCCATTTTTCGCACGCACGCGAGAACATAATGGCCGAAGCGCAAAAAGTTTATCGTTACGATTCCAGCAGCGGTGGTGTATATATTTGCATGAAATTACAACAACTCGGCATTATTTGCCCAAATTAAACATACCAAAGAAAAAAAAAGCACGTGAAATTTCCATTGTCCGCGCAATACACCCTCGATTAGTTTCGATCTCCCGAATGGCGCAATACCGAAAAAGTATCTTGGCATTGCCATTTCTCTTTGTTTGCGCAATTAAAAGAATTTTTCCTCGTTCAAATGCACAAAAGTCCCACACAGTACAGTACGCAACGCGTCGAGTCAAAGTAGTTCAAGATAGGCGAGCTTATCGACAAGGTCGTTTGTCAGCAACGCTAGACAAGAAATAACCGACACTCGAGTACGCAAAGTGGTATAACTAATCGAGTTTGAACAACGCGATGGTGAACATGATCCTCATCGTCCTTGGGATGGCGCACACAGGGATCGTAAGTTCATTCGATCGGTACATGTCTCTCGACGACTCGCTGCACGCATATGGTTGTTTTTTTTTTCCCTCCACAGGCCGTGGAGTACCAAAGCAAAGTATTGTCCCAGAGGATCTCGCACTTTGACAACCCGCAGGTGGACTTTGGCGTCAAGTACTACGGGGACGAGGGCTACCCCTACCTGGTCGTCAAAGAAGTCATTTCGCCGTACAACGACCTGCACGTAAAGCCGAGTAGTAGAAACAGACGATTATGGTCAGACGTGGTTTTTTTTTTTTTTTTTTCACTCTCCGTTTCGTCAAATTCCAGCTGCTGCTGTACGCCAGGGTGTACGACCAGCCACCCCATCTCCTCACCAGTGCACCGCTGAGCCTCTGTAAGCTTCTGCACGACGACAGGCTCAGGAGAAACGGCACCCTCGCGCAGTTCAACGTCCCGCAGATCTACAATTTCGACGGAAAGAGCTGCCCCATCGAGCAGGTGAGCGATACCCATGTGTTTTTTTTTTCTTTTTTTTTTACCATTAAAACACAAGTTGTAAAAAACCAGGGAAGGATAAGCCTGTCGCCGTACATGTTCCCGGCGACGTTCGAGACCGAGGTGAACTTGGGCTGTGGCATCATGAACGTGGAATCCCGTCTGTTGAAGTGCGACGACGGCGAGTCGAGCTACTCCGGGGGTCGCACCTGCGCGACGCTCCTCAAGACCTTGACCGTCGTATTTCTGCAAAACGAGTCCTGCAAAATCGACGAGAAGAACGTACCCAACTGGACGGACCTCGATTCCTCGGTGTAGCGCCACCGCCACGAAAGATGTTCATTCGTTCAAATAATTATGTTACTATAGCTCGCGATAAACCATTATGTACATGTGTCCCCCCGATTGTCAACAGCTTCGTATATATGTATATATATTGGCGTCTGCGTTTCACTTACAAGCACCAACCACACTTTGAGCAAATTTTCTTATCCGAACACGCGCGAGGAGAGATGAACAATAAAACTCCCGAGCACGCGCCAGTTGTATACGTACATAATGTACACAACATCGGCTCTACATGTGTGTCGTTTGCTTTACACATTTCCCTGTGTATACATAATATACGCGTGGACAAAATAGGTAATTGAGTAAGCACCAGTAGGTCGGAGGTAAGTACAGCGAGTCCTTATTAATTCGGCAGCGGACATCTCGAGTGTTGTACGATCTTTGATAGAGAGAGGGAGGGAGGGAGGGAGAAAAGTTCTCCCTGTACCTGCGAGCGGACATAAATATATCCGATAAGTAGCTCGAGCACGATTTCCCGGACTCCCTCGCTCCTTTTTAAATCCAACAATTTACACGAGGAGGAAGCTTAAAAGGGTGTACAAGGAAGAAGCGGCAGGGGGGGAAAGCTTACGTAAATAAGGACGGAGTATTGGTATGGGAGGAAGAGGCGGAGCGTCCCCCTTTGTTCGCTCCTTATCTCGTTATGTCCGTGTGTGTGTGTGTACGCTCGTTCGGAAAAGCGGACCAGGAAGAAAGGGAGGGAGGGAACTAAACGAGCTATTCATTAATCGAACAAGACTACATGGGCCTCTCTTTCTCTCTTTCACTCGCGAAACCAGTGGGAGGCGCTGTGCATACGTTCTTTGTACCCGAGAGTCGTCGTGAGTTTATTACACCACACAAAACTTGGGCGTGTATGTGTATATTATTCGTGTTGCCGTTTCGGGGCACGTTTTCAAGCCGAATTACCGATTTCGAGTCAGCGTTAAAAAGTTTTCACGTAGAAAAAGTTCCGAGAAGCTCTGGTCGGCTTATGTTGCACGTAACACTGATACGACTGTAAATAGGCATACTGCACGGCATTGGGAAATAAATGGCTGGTGGGGGTAGGGGCTTTCGTTGAATATTGGGTGATCGAGGCCATAGCCAAGTGGGACGCGGTGTGGGTATGCATTGTGCTACTGTATATTGTTTCAACAATTAAAATTGTGCTTTAACGCCGTATGCATCAGCCCGTATATTTTTCAAGGATTCTTCAATTGGTGGGAAAAACAACGCCAAATCATCTATAATGTAACGCACAGAATCACTCGAGTGTGGGACCCATCGGGATAAAGTTGACAAAACAGGGTGATCGGCTAGTCCATTGTCTGAGATGATTATGTACCTATACTACTTGTGCATCCACGAGAACGCTGTCTTACCACACGCGGCATGTATCTACTAGCATCCGAACGTTTTCCCTGTAAGTAGTATATACACACATATGCTACAGCACTAGCTCGTAATGCTTTTTCTTATCGTCGAACTCGTGCAAGTCGTACGTATAACATTGTCATTAATTATTGGCGGGGGTAATTATACCGAAGAGTAATATAATTATTGTACAGGTGATGGAATTTGACGTGCATATAATCATTGACTCTGAAATTTACACACTTTATTTTGACCTCTTCAAAAAAATACGAGTAATAAAATTTTGAGTGAAAAATGAAATTTGCGAACAAATTACTTCGATTGTAATGGGAGGCGCAAGAAAAAAGGATCGCAGAGAGGGAGGGATACGGAAAACCGGTAAGAAATATTTTCCCGTGCGGCTAGGGAGCGCGTTTCAACCGAAAAGCTTCATAATGATTTCACGGTCGTACTTTTCAAGAGGGGCGGTAAGGACTCCTTTGCTGGGAGAAAAGCAAAAAACGCGCAGCGACGGGACAAGAGGTAGAGGAAGGGAGGAAGGAAAGGCTGTTCCGTATATTGTACCGCGCATCCTTCGCCGTATCATTTATTTTAATTGACTAAAGTGCGTCTAATTGTATGATAATACAACTCAACAAATAACGCAGTCGCGCAATTATTTCCTTGGTATATATATATATATATATATAGGTACGTACGGGTTGTAGCCGCGCGCGCGCGCGCACGCACGATTCTAAATTTTCTGAAGTGGCACTGAAATTAACGTGCCGAGCGGTTCTTCTGTGCGGCTCTCAGACGACTTTTTTTCGCCGCAGCGCGCGATCTTCCGAGAAAAATTCTATGCACGTGCCACGTACATGGGTATTCCTCTACAATACGCGTATACGCGCGTGGGTTTTTTTTCGTCTACCTGTCCGTCTGTCGGTGTTCTATGATAATGAGGGGAAAATTATTGGCCGGGAATCGTTATCGTTAATTGGCTCGCCGGTGCGCGATCGATCATGTACCGTTTGTTGCACGGCACGAGGTGTCATAACACATAGTATAAAGAAAGGTGCGTCAAGTCGATCGATTGACTATTTTTTCCACGATACGCGGTAAACAACGACAATACGGTCGAGAAATTAAGTGACGAAAGCCCCTCTGTATACGCGGTTGCGAAAACCATATATTTGTCGGGCTATTGTTTGCGAGTAATTATGCCAACCGTACATTTTTGCGCCACCATTGCCTCCCTCTCTTTTTTTTTTTTTTTTTTTTTTCTTTATAATGTGACGTGCCATCGGCTAAGACCAAAATGGAAACACCCGGAGAATTATGTCATAAAATGTATCCCCCGACCACCCGAAAACTCACTCCTGATGTTTCCCTCTTTCGTTATTTCAAAATTTACGACTCGTCGCAGCCTCGTGCATTAAACATCGACCGAGTAAAAGAAAAAGGGAGGAGAGTGATGCGGAGCCGTTAGGCATTAAAAACCGCAATCTCCGAGAGCCACCGACGACGAGTTTTGCAACGCCGAAATGCGCGATACGCCGAGGGGCAGGCAAGGCACGGAAATTAACGTACGCGGCAGAGAAACAAACCCAAAAGACGCGCCCAGCCCCGATAAGAAAAAAAAAAGGGGCCCGTCTCCGTATATTTACCCGGGGCAAAACGGGATGCGGAAAGGGAGAGAAACCCGAAAATCGAGCTTCCCCCGCGCATCGGTACTTACGATGTATACCGATAAAAGGAGGCAAAAATAAGCCAAAAGAGGGAGGTTTATGTTTCGATGCACACACACACACACACATCCCAGAGGTGGACTTACCGGTTGTTGGCGGTACCGCAGGCCGGGGCGCGCTTGGACTCGCGGCGCACGCTCGTACGCGTCCTTATGAAGCGCAGGGCGCCGCTGAAGCGCTGCTGAGGCTCCGGTGCCGCCTGCTGCTGGGTTTCTGCCGCCGAGCGCATTATTTCTCTTCCTCCTTTTGATTTTTTTTTGTTTTTTGTTTTTTTTTTCAGTCTCCTCTTTTGCCGGCTCTTCCTCTACACGTCCTTTAAAGACACGCGGAGGTGAGCTACTGCACACTGCACTCGTGGGAGGGGGGGGGGAGGGTATCGCCTTTTACGGAACCCGATGTAGGGATTCGACGAAACCTGTTGCTCGCCGTTTCATCCTCGAATTGGTCTGTCGTTGGTACACACACACACACACACGCACGCGCGCGCGCGCGCAGTTTCCTTTGGCGCGACTTAACGAGCGCGCGTTTGCTTTGATTGCCGCTAACTGGTGCTCGGCGCTGCGCTGAGGAAATTCGAGCGACGACGACGACGGCTGCGGCTGAGGGACGCTAGCGAGGCAGCTGACGCTGGGCGAGCCGAGTCCGGAGGATCCATAGCTCGCGGGGAGGCGAGTATAATTTCAGTTCGGTAACCCTTTTTTTTTTTTTTTGTTTTTGTTTTTTTATCTCTTTCGTTCGCAGCTTGTGGTTTCGGTGGAGACCGCAGAGGGACCGTGCGCGATTACGACTTGAAACGACGCGAATTATAAATAATGCACCAAATCAGAGCTCTCTTGAGCTTAACACAGGAGAGTCGAGGGTAGTACGGGAAAGTAATTCACAAATCGCGATTGATCTTTTTTTTTTTTTTTTTCCTTCGCCCCGTCAAATTATATTCACCACCAAATCGTCTTCATTTTTTGTTTGCATCAACATTTGAAACGAAGCACCATCACATTCACTGTTATTGTACCAACTGCAGGGCGACAGTATACCCAAATTACAAGTCAAAGATGAGTATTAAAAACACCAGCTTCGTTACACTTTTAGATCCGGATGAGAGTCAATCCGAGCAGCAGTGGTGGTGGTGGTGAGCACCAAAGGACGCCGCCTTTGTGGTTCTCGGGCGGCAAAAGGCGCATCGTCCAACTCTATATACTGCACTTGCAGACCCGGGCATCGAAGTCACAAAACAAATAAAGGGAAAAAAAAAGGAAAAAAAACACAAATAAACGAAAATAAAGCAAACACAGATCGGTCCGAAAAATCGGCAAAACACAGCCGTGCGCGCGTCTCAGTTGGCCGGCAAAAAGAAAATCGCCGAGCGATCATGCAAATGCGAGCCGCCGATCTTCCGTCACTCCCGGCGTGCTCGACGAAACTAGACTAACGCAACAACGGCAACAAGAAAGGAAGGAAAGAAAAGAAAGGAAAAAAAAAGAAGAAAAAAAAAAGGAAGAAAAAGAAAAAACAGACGCCGGCATCATCAGCGGTGTATATAGGAGAGCAACAACATTACGCAACCGAGCGAGGAGGAGAAGAAAGATTATTGCCGGGGCCCGGCTGACTGGCTGGAGGTGTACTGGCGCGACCGGTTGCAGTCCTCCTCCTGGCTTCTCTCCCTCTGCACCTGGTCTCTCTCTCTCTCTCTCTCTCTCATGCTCTCCCTTCTTCGTCCTCCCCGTGGAGTTGGTGTGTGCTTCCTCGGCGCGAGAGAAAGATCGGCGGAAACGGTATCAGGCCGCCGCGCTTCTCATCCCTCCCTCCCTCTCTCTCTCTACAGCACAGAGCTTGTATAGGTGTATTTCAACAAACACGCACGTATATACGCGAAGAAAAGGATCTCAGTGGTGGTGGTGATCCTTCTACAACCGAGCGGTATACTCATGTGTAGGTGGAAATGACAACGAAGACAGCGAGGAGGAAGACACGAAGCAGCTATATAGACGTATATATAAATAGCCCCACACCGCGATCTAACCAAGTCTTCACTCTCGTTGGTAGGTATGGTATAACAATCTATACCCACGTATGTATACACAAGTATATCGCAATCGGTAGTCGTAGCTTTCACCATCAATGCCTCCGGTGCGGATCTTGTCGTCGTCGTACCCAAGAGTATATTTATATACTTACTTATGTGTTTATTTAGATGATAACAAGTCGGCTCGAGGTCCTGTATACATACATCAATACATACATACATACATATATATGTATTATTTTGTAAATGGAAAGCCATATCATCGTATACAGTGCAAGTATAGTAAATGAATCTTCCCCACGTGTAGTATACATGTATATGTGCATATAAAAGGAGCTTGCCGTAGGTAAGGTATTCAGCGCCATTGTTTCCTTCCTCTCTCCCTACTTGATATAACAAGTGTACATCCTCATCCTGCGCACCAACGCCAGTTCCTAACACGGCTCTTCTTTGCAAAGAACACGAGCTTCTTCCAGTTTATACGAACACGGACAAACACTCTTGTACATAAATGTATACCTATGCTTTACACGAGATGGTGGAAACGTGACTTTTTTTTTTACATTTTCAATACCCTCCTCTGATGCCTACGAGTATCCGTAGGTGTACGTTCGATTATATCCTCTCGCGGAAGAGATATAGTTTTTGCGGACGTTTATTATTGTCGCGGAAGGAAAGGCGCGCAAAAAAGGCTCGTGTGTGTATATATGGAGAGAGAGAGAGAGAGAGAGAGAGAGAGAGAGAGAGAGAGGGAAAAGGAAAAAAGGAAAAAAAGTAAATGTGGAGGGTATTTATGTTCATGTACCTAGCCGCGTCTACTGTGTACTATAATATGTGTAAATAAAAGAGAGCCAAGTCGAGCCGAGGAGGAAGGTATATATAAATATATATATATACACGAGCTTATATATAATGCAACGTAAAATCGGCACGGCGAGTCGCCGCAACAGCAGCCTTATATTATATCCTTGGTGTCCTCTCTCTCTCTCTCTTTCTCTTGCTCCTTCGTATCCTCATCTTGCACTGCATTTGCCGTGCCGTGAGTCAAGCAAAGTTAAGTCTGTGGGGCAAGGGTGTACATACATATATATGTATATATATATACAATGTATACGTGTATATAGAACGAAGCTTGTAGCACACAGAGAGAGAGAGAGAGGGAGGGCCCCTATCCCCCTTCCTTCTGTTGCTCCTTCGGGCCCTTTTTCTCCGCCTCCTCCTTTCTACATACAAGCATAAAATCCCCCTGCGCCCTTCCTCTCGCTCTCCTTATCTTACATCCTCGCACGCTTTGTTTCTCTCTCTTTCTACCCTATCTCCTCCTCCACCTTTTTCTAGGTCTATATATACACACACGGCGAATACACACTTGCGAATTCTCTCTGGCTCTAAATACACACAAGTTTCGCGTTAAAGCCGAGAGTACATAGTTGGAGGAAGGACGCGCAGTTCGCGGTCTCTCTCTCTCTCTTTTACTCTGTTTTATCCAAGTGTATGCGTGTACACACGATTGTGGTGGCCACGCGAATGTATAAATGTACGCATGTTTATATACAAGCACAAAACCCTTCGACGTATAAATATATACCGTACAGCTCGTGCTCGTGGGTATACATCACACGCCCGGGCTTTTTTTTCTCTTCCCTCGCTTCGGAATATACACACGTACATACCTACTTATTTGCGATCCATTTTACTCCCGCTTCTTATTCCACACGTTTTCTCATTCTCCCTATTTCCTCCGTTCGCGCTGCTTCAGTACTTACGAAAAGGAGCTGTACGGAGAACGAGAGAGGAGCAAAGGTGCACATGTATAGGTAGGGCCCTAAGTTGCCCCGCTTGGTCCCCCTTTGCCTGTACATACGTATATACCTTCCTCCCTTTGACCCGATCAATCATCTTCCTATACTCTTGGAAACAGAGTATTTAGGCGGTACACTTGGTGCGCGGTGGAGAAAAGCGCGGAAAACACTGTAGATCGGTATGATTGCGTGAAAAAAAATAAAAACAACTTCTTTCTTTATTTTCGAGTCTAATATTTTTGTTACATCTTATTTCCGATGGGTTGGTATTTGTCGATAAAATACTGTCAATAGTTTTCGATACATGAAAAAATGGAAGAACCGGGGGGTTTTTCAACCACATGCAACATCATTGCTCCCTGATTACGGGTGCTTATAACACCAGCGTAAATTTGTGATTAATTAATTACTCTTACTTGTACTAATGATTAACTGTAAAGAGCGCTCTGCTCTTAGCTCCTTAACAATAAATTCAATTCAATTCAATTCAATTCAATCATTAGTTTTCGTTAAAGAACTTCTCCGATTTTTTGTCCGGAAATCTCTTCGCGTGTGGACTGTATGAGCTTGTTTTCGTGTCCTTTGTGAGTCGGAAAAATTTTTCAACCCAAAGTGATATTTGATTTTGAGATGTATTTACTTTTCAATGTAAGCACTTCAACACGATACTAACGAGTACACTGTTGGTCTAGCATATCAAACAAAATTTCTTGGGAATCCTTTGAAAAACGTGTGCGTTTTGTGAAGTAGTAAGAATATTAAGAAAAAAAAAAAAAAAAAAAAAAAAAAAAACAAACTTCAGTATGAGCGATATGCTTTGTACCAAGCTATTCGCTCCTAAATTCTTTGTACATTTATATTGCTGTATTGTAGCGATTTTCATCATTTTTTGTTTTTGTCAATAATTTAATATTCTATTGATTGGTACTACCCCGTTCATACTAACAATATATTCATTTCCCGAAATCATTCACACGTTTATTTTTCGTTTCGTCATATATTTATTGTTAGGCCCAAATACAATGACGTTTAACGTTAAAAAAATATTTATTTTTCGCAAGAGCCGATTTCCCTCGCAATAATCCCCAATCCCTTGTTTAACGAGGCGAGAATGACACGGACAAGTTTATCCCAGTTTCCGAGCAATATTGTTATTATCATCGATGGTCAAAAGAAGATTAAGGTTGTCCACAAATGTAAAAAGAAAAAAAAAATTTTAGTACTTTGGTATACTTGTTGTAATCGTTGAGCTTTATAACTCTATTTAAGCACACGGTATCTACTTTGTGCAAATAACTTGCTACTCTAGACGCATAATCGTACACGTAATATGCACCGCGCAAGCTGCTAATAATGGAAAAAAAAAAAAAAAAAAAAAAAAAACGATCCAACAGCTTTATTTGTCGAAATGGCACTACTTGGGTACATTATAACACACTCTGCTCTCGTCCCCTGCGAATATACATATACACACGTATAGTATGTATACCAACAATCTAATATGCAAACACATATAGTTTTCACGAGCTGTTGTATCCCGTGATCAGATAAGTATAAAATACCGAGTTATGTAAGGCAAATTATTTTTAGCTCCACACAACGACCAAGCTCGCGTACAAGAGAGATGGAGATATAAGAGCAAAGTAGGTACCCAAGTGTTTCACAACGGAGTATGTATAATGATATACGCGTGTACCCTTTTATCTCCGATCATTCGTACAAATGGACGAAATACCCAATGAATAAAAATTAGCTACAACTTGTGAGAAGATTCAATTATTGTCGTTCGGCTACGCGCTCCCAAAAGCACGCTCGGACGGGGGTGCGCGTGTTTGCCGAAGATGCAAATGTAAAACCTCACGCGAGCTCCCCGTACGCCGGGTTGTTCTTACTGGTGGCGTGTCCCTCGTTCTCCAGCCACCCGACGATCTGCCAAAAGTGAGGCCTGCCCTCGGGCTTCCTGCTCCAGCACCCGTCCATAATCCGGCGCATGGGGTCGCAGCCAAGGGGCTCCGGTCTGCCCTCCCGCTCCACAAGGAAACCCAACAGCTGGTCGTCCGGGATCCTCGGGTGCGGAAGGTCCCCGAGGCTAGCTATCTCCCAGAGCACGAGCCCGTACGACCAGACGTCGCTCTTGCTCGTAAAGACCCCTCGGCCCACGGCCTCCGGCGGCATCCAGCGTATCGGCAGTCGGCGCACCTCCGGGGACAGGCCCAGGGTGTACGCGCCCCTCCGCGACAGCCCAAAGTCGGAGACCTACGGGTCAAAGGCAAAAATAACGTACGTCCACCTACCTACTTCACCCATGTATATTTCACCTTGAGCACGAGGTTCCCGTCCATGAGGACGTTGCGCGCGGCGAGGTCCCGGTGGACGATGCCCCTGGCTTCCAGGTGCTCCATACCTCTGGCTATTTCCAAGCCGAAGCGCGTCGTTTCCGCGTGGCTGAGCGGACCCGACTCGCAGTGGTCCCCGACGTGGAATACCCGGGATGCCCCTCCACTCGCTCTCCTCGCTATTAACATTCTTTTTTACTTTTTATACTACCCACCAAAGGGTTCTTCCTTCCTTCTTTGCTCTCTCGCTTACATTCTCGATGCATCGCGCGGTCGATCGTGCCTCCGCTCAATTGATACGGGTGTGTATCGTATAATATACTTCAGCTCTCTCAATCTCTCATTGGAGGAAAAAAAGAAAAAAGAAAAAAAACGACTTACTGTAGTGAGTAGCTTTGTCGCGCGCCTCGTGCAGATAGGTCAAAAGATCGCCCCGGCTGGCGTACTCGAGGACCAGGCAAACCGGGCTCGCGGCCGCGGTGCAGTACCCGATCATACCAACGAGGTTGGGATGCGAGCCGGCGCTCCTAGCGATCTCGATTTCCTTGAGCAGCTCCCGTCGCGCCCCTGGATATAACATTGAGACGTTTACATTCGCCGCGGTACCTCCTCCTCCTCCTCCCGGGGTATCCCCGGGAAGGATCGCCCGCACGAACGCGGAAGGTGTACGTATATATATACACACTTATTACCTGATTGCTCTTGCGCGGTGGAGCCGCCGAGCGACATTTTCACGGCGACGGGTCGTCCGCCCAGCAGATCGGCCAGATAGACCTTGCCGAACTGGCCGCGGCCGAGCTCGCGCAACACCCGCAGACGCGAGTACGGGATCTCAAGCTCGTCCCCGGGATCTTTATGATGATGGGCGCCCTGTTGCCACACACACACGTGTATTGTATACACGAGGGGACCAAAAAATAAATCTAGTTGAACCAAGGAATAAGCAATTGTTACCTCGGTCGCGTGCAGGTCAAAGTACAGGGCGTTGTGGTGCTTCAGGAGAGCTTCGATCTTTGGGTTACGGAACACCGAGTGGAGCTGCCTGCTGCAACGATATTTCATACGATCAACGACAATAACAATCTAGAGGGGGGGACAATTGTGTGTATGGTGAAACCTCGAGGGTGATGGTGAGGAAAATCGGCGGTCCCTCTGTCGCCTCAGGTGAGCAAAGAAGCCGTGAATCCCCGTCGCCAGCAGGCACAGTCCTACCACCGCGATGGCGACCAATATCTGCAAAGGAAATTCATTTTTTGTTTTCGTCATACCTTCACGTGTACGTGTTGATGGGTGAGCGTACAAAAAGGGACTTGCGATAGGTCGAGTTGGCTTTGATTGTTTCCATGAAGTGTACGCCCTCCCTGCCCGAGCAGCCAAACTCGTCCTGTGCGGTGACGGAAACTTTCGTTCCCTTTTCGTACGATTTCCCAGTCCAGACGTAATGGTGACTGTCGTTGGCGGGTACCGTGGCGATGTCCGTCCTGTCGTACACCTGTTTGCCGCTCGCCGATACCATTTGCGGCAGCCCAATGCTACACCGAATCGAGATTTTGTTGTGTGTAAATCTTTTTTCTTTTCCCCCCCCCCTCTCCTAGATATACGTTGCGCAATTAAATTAACTCGAGTGTATTGTACTTAATCGTAGGCCGTCTAAAAAAAAAAAAAAAAAAAAATGAGCTCCGGCTACGGTGCACGTGCACAATGTATGATACTATAAATAGTAAAGCGAGATACGCGACCCTCCTTTTATCCGAGCATCAAGATAGAGAAATTAACGTGTACGTGGATACAGGTATTTTTTGCCACATGTAATACACGGGGGGGCAAAACAAAAAAAAAAAAAAAAAACAAAAACAAAAAAAAAAACTGTTGCCCAGCAAGAAAGCAATTATTTCCACTGGGAAGGCTTCGCTAATCAATGGCCCCGAAAAATGACAAAAACAAAAAGGACCGCTCGAGATATAGAGCTGTCTAATTAGCCGCCATTGAAAGGGAGGAATCGTTGCTACCCCCCCATCCCCCCACCCTGTTTCTCAATGCACGTGCAGTATAATATATATATATAGATATACACATAAACCATTTAACGTGCAGGGGATGATAGGCCGGCAGCTTATTTCTCGTTCGATCGGACAATGGGACGCCGCGTTATCGTCGCTTTATCAGTTTGCAGTTGTAATCGATACGGGTGTATATCGCGATCTTGAACTTTTGAACGAGGCAATGACGAAAACACTACCACGGGAAGGCAGGCGGCGTTGGCTCGAAACAAAGCTATTGTCCTGTACACTCCGTGGGAGAGATTAGGTTTCACACCTTATGGGAGGTACACAGGTACACTTGTAAGTTTTCGAGCGAACTCCCCCATGGCACTCCTGTTATGCAAATCATGTATAATATACCCACTTACCGATCTCTAGCTTACATACTTTTTTGAACATTAATTAGAGAGATAGCTTTTTTTTTTTTCTTTCTTTCTTTTGGTTCTGTTGTTTAATGGAGTTGACAGCTTAAGGTACAAAGATATACGTGTCCTTGGAAGGCTGAATTAAGCGCAGTTTCGCCGATAAACTTGCTCTGCGGCAGCAGTGCGTAGGATTTTTCGGCATCCTCGCTGATGTAGTAGGTCGAGCCTTGCGCGCAACGACCGCTACTTCCTGGTGTCGTCGAGTTTAGCTGTTCCGATTCCACTTGCACGCTGGATGTTGATGGGCACATGTGGTTCAAATTAATAATTTTGCTTTTAAAATAATGTTACGACTAATCAGAAAAACAATGCATTCAAACATCGAGCAAACTCAAATTTATTTGTTTCTTATTTTATCTTGGCAGATAAGAAGTGTACGAGCTACGCGTGACTTTTAAGATCGTTGAACGATTTATAGGGTAACGGGTGCTGTAGATCCTTATTGATAACAACTTCGTGATCTAATTTTCCACTTTTCTACACGTGGCAAGAGCTACGCATTTTTATTAAAACACGCAAGTACAAACTAGTTGTCAGAGGAATATAAGGTGTACCAACAAATCTGGGATAGCCATTTTTTTCACTGAAAATTAAAACATCTCTTTCCATCTTCGAGACGTCAACAGGGAGATCGTGTGAAATCCTAAAAAGCGTACCTATAAGAGCGCGGTTTTTTTCCAGTGATCGGTGGCAACCAGGTCACATTCAACTTGATCGCAGCCGATTCATCCGTCACCAAATGGGCACTCAAATTTCTAACGTCACCCACCACAGCACTGTTCTCCCAATTCTCGTTCTGCAAGTGCGCCAACGCGCAAACGGCCAATCTGACGAGCTGCAGCCACCACCACCAGCTGCAATACCCGCCGTCGACCATCTCGCACGCACGCGTTTGCACGTCACTGATGTAGCATACTAGGTACTTACACTCTAGCGTCTGATCGTATGATTGCTTCGTGATTTTTTTTTTTTCTTCACCGACGCGCTTGACGCGTATCCCTTATCTCAAACTCATGTTATTGACAACGCGCGCCTCCGTTGCTCAAGAAATAATTTGTTTGGACATTCAGGTGTTCGAGGAACAAAAGGAAGAAATCATTGTTCGTGTGCTTTTGTAGCTGTAAATATTTATTAATAAATATTTATAAATTACCCGGTACACATTTATTATTGTTATCGATTGTTATGCACTAAGCACTACCTTATTCCTTTGATGAAAAATTTATTACGCTGCAGCACACGGATATTCGACGCAACGAATAATTTACTTTTGCAGATATCATATACGTATATTTTCAATCTAATGCGCCAAATCTTGTACTTATTTGGGATTCGATTAGAGACTAGAGTCATTGCTATAAGAGAGTTCGTCAAAGTACAGAGAAAACATTATTTACAATAAATGAAATTTACAAAAAAATTTATTCATACACTACGATACAATTGATTTTATCTCGTCGTAAATACGCGTTCGGAGTGTGTATAATATATTTACATGTCTCATGCAGAGAGTAACGATATAGTTCATGTATATATCATTTTAAATTTACTGCCTATCGTGAATAAGCTAAAGATCGGTCCAACACGTAGCTTCAACAACTTCAGCGAAAAGTGTTGAAGAAGTACATTACCATAAAAATGCCGGTAAGCTGTAAAAAAGGCTCAAAAAATCACACGTTCAATTCTTACTGTACGAGTCTTTTAAGTGAAAATCATCGAACTGCGTGTTTTTTATTTAAATGATTGAAAGACTAACGTTTTTTTTTTCAACCTTTGCTTCAACTACACGAATAAAATAAGTACGCGTAAATTCTACGCCGGATTTGAAATTATAATAGCTGTATTATATACCATCACCAACGCTTTAAAAACAGATTTACCAATTCATTGCATCACGATTTGTCTAATAAAATTAAAATCATCTTCTTGGAAGTACTCGACATCACAAATATTTATCTTGTGTAAAGTTTAAAAAGTTCCTAAGTTAAGAAATAAAAATATACACAGCTCTAATTAAGTAGACGTACCAAGTCTATTGTTGCAAAACTATTGATAAAAATCTCTAAAAATCGTTTACACTCTTAGCCGCGTCCTTAAGCACTTGTGAAAGGCACGCGGGACAAACTGTTTCAGGTTTGTGTGACTGATTTAACATAGTGCCAAGAAGTTGAGCCGTCGAGGGGAGAGGAGGTTGTAAGGTCAGAAGTTCAGTTTCCATTTTTGGCACTGCCTCGGATTGATAAGCCGACATGGAGTATTGATGGCCGCAGGTGAATATCATCGAGTCTTCTTCTGCGTTAAGTAGTTCGGACACCTTGTCTGCATCCTATGATTATACGTAAATGAAGACAGTTTGGATTTTTTTTTATTTCGATGGCTACTGATTTTTACCTTAAGGTGAATAAATGGCCGAGGATCATTGTACTTGGCGGATAATGTGCTAATAATACCATCCATCATCTTTTGTGGAGTATTATTTTCACTGGTACCTGGATAGCCCGTAAGTGGAGGCCCATAGTTTTTTGCCATCGAAACTGACAGCATCTGTATGTATTCTGGGGCAGGTTTTCCTGGAATGTGATTTCAATATTATTGTATTTCCAATTTTTGTAAATATCGCAATATTTGTGTACCTTCATCTATGTGTTCCAACATCATTGAACAAATTTTAAGACTGAAATGAGTAGAGAGAATTTTTTCGGCATTTTTCACGCGAATGTTGCCATTACTTTTCTGAAGAGTATAAGTATTCTGTGGATCACATCTGAGGAAAAAAAAAAAATTTAAAAAAAAAAAAAAAAAAAAAAAAAAAAAAGGATAATTCAGTTGATTGTTTGTGTATAAGTTTACTTACCCAAAAAGTAAGAGACCAAGAGAGTAAAATATCTTATCGAGGTACTTGTCAAAAATTTTCTCAAGTGTTTCGATCGGAAATTTATTTTCCACCCAGAAATTAATGGCTGTAGCAGAAACTTCGTACATAGGTACGTAAGCATCTTCTTCAACTTCGTTAAGGTAAAAATCGACTATGTTTATAGCATGCTGCATTACAACCAATTCGTGACTACTGAGAGCATTTTCGAGTATGCTTTTGCCTGGTTTATCGTAATTTTCCACTGGGATACTTTCGTTATCGTTCATCTCTTCATTGATATCACTCGACAACGAGCTATCTTCATCTTCTTTATTACCATTTTCCAAAGACTGATCCAAAGCCATTTCCACAGATTCGGAATTGGGATCAGACTTGAGATCGTCAAACATTTCTTCGGAGCCACCTTGACAGTCGAAATTGTGCAGTTCCTGCTCGATGGTTTGAAAACTGTCCAAAGACTTGCTACAGGGCATTTTGATTTTTTGTTTCTTAACGCTCTCCAGTAAATTTTCCATCAAATTCCACTCTACGTGCTTCTCAAACAGCTTACTATTATCCTGAGCTTGGTCATTTTTATAATTATCTACATCATACTCATCACGCATGCCGTTGAAAAAAGTTTCTAAATTGTCAGGGTTACATTCTTTTAGAGCTCTAAGTTGATAAATAAGAGCTTCTACGAGGTTACGGTCCAAAAGCTCGATTTTTGCGCAGGCTTGGTAATTTTTTATATCTGAACACTGAAAATAAAAAATAAAATTTTCAAAGTTATGTACATCCAAGCGTATGAATTTGTGTTTTACCTTCTTCAAAATCGTAGCAGAGTCATAAAGCCCGTGAAACTGTTCAAGCACGTAATGCAGCGTCATGTCGCTCAGTTCTTTTTCCACATTCTTCAAAGGCATGACAGAGCCAGCAAGCGGTGTCACATCGTAGCTCTGGTACGAAATTGTCGGTGAGGGTATGTAGGGCACCTCATTCGGTGTCGTTTCCGCTCCTATGCCAAGTTTATCCAAATGATCAATGCAGTTGATTATGCGGTTGGACACTCGAAACTTTAGCACCAGATCCTTCAGATTACGCTCATCTTGCTCTTTGGGCGTTCTGCCCAGCTGGGCAAGACTGTTGTTACCCCAGGCCAGTACACTGCCACCTGTCTCAATAGCTATCATAAAGTTACTTCCACAGCAGATTTTCAAGAATTTTTTGCTACAGTTCAGATCTCTCTGACAAGCGGATTCGCAGCCCTCGTCGACTTGAGCAAAGTCAAGGAGTATCGGTTGACCAAAGAGTGGCGTTGGGATGCTGATGTCGTGCTTATGACCAGTACCGAGCTGTCCATCCAGGTTCCTGCCCCAGACGTAGATCGTGCCATCTTTCGTTAGAAGAGCTGAGTGGTTGTACCCCGTAGATATCTGAGACACATAGTTTGTTTCTTTCTTCTATCAAATAATCATGTTAGGCCAACGAATACGACAATTAAATCGTTTACCTGGACAATTTTTCCATGAACGAGGCTTGTATCAACAAGCTTGGGCCACAGATGCGACTGATTTTCGTCAGCAGTCGGTGAATCCGCCTCAGGCGGTTCGAGCGCATTCGAGCTTATGTAAGCTACAGGTCCGTTATTGTTTGTAACCTCTTTCGCATCACTAGTGGAGTTTTCCTTTTCTTCGTTGACTTCGGAAGTACTCGCAGCTTCTTTTTCTATCAATTCGCAAGCCGACGACAGTTTTGCCCTCAGCTGCTTGGCTCTGCGCGCCTTCCACTGTTGGCGCACCCCTTGTAGATTCGACCCCCAAATGAAGAGTCGATTCGTACAGCTAATAGCGAGCTGTGAAACGTTATTATTATTGTTTATTTCTGTCTACGATGAATCTAAAAATTCTCAAACAATGCGGTCAAATAATATTCTTACACTGTGAAAGTACTTGGTTGCAATGAGAGTTACTCTTTCGGGCAATAGACTGATTCTCACAGGACTGGTCTGCTTGACATCGTGACCAAGACCGAGTTGTCCATATAGGTTGAAACCAAATCCGTAAACGTAGCCATCAGCTGTGAGAACGAGGGTGTGGGCATAACCAGCTGAAGCGTGACGAATCACCAGGCCAAGAAGACCTTCTACAAGTCGAGGTTGTCGGCAAGTCTCGGTGTTGCCGTGTCCCAGTTGGCCGTGCACGCCCCAGCCCCACGTGTACAGGCGACCGTCGGACGTTAGAGCCATTGAATGATATTGGCCTAAAATCAATATTGTTGAGATTACTAAAAATGTCATTTTACATACGTACGGAGTAATGCAGATCGAGTGATACGACAACTAAATACTGAAAGCAATATCTATGCACAGTGTTTGTTGCGGTCCCCCCCACCCCCCGATAAATAAATAATAATCTTTTACCTGCTATGGCATCAATAATGATCTCGTCAGCAAGTTCAGTTACAAGCTCTGGATTCGGACATTGGTCAGGCTCGACGATACCCAGCTGTCCGTAGCGATTTCCACCCCAAGCGTACACGCCGTTATTGGTAACGGCTAAAGTATGGCATCGACCTGACGAGACCGACAACACTTCGACACCCTGACGACAGAACATGTTGATTTCCTGCGCGAGTTTATATCGTGATATCGTTGGGCCAGAACCTAAGCAGCCCTGCGTGGTATTTCCCCATGTGTAAACGTTCCCATTTCTGATAAGCGCGGTGTGTGCGAATCCAGTGCTCAGCAGCCTTCTCTTAAAGTCAACGCTGGTGGTCTTTCCTCTGCGAACTCCCACGATCTCAGACAGAGGTGTGAATGGCACGTACTTGGAGCAGAATTTCAGGCTCGGTTGTTTCCTGTAGAGTAAAGCCAGAAGAACTTGCAGAAAAGCTTCTATTATTTCTTCGACCAACGAGGCAGTTTCATCCTGCAAGTGGTTTAATTTTCGTTAATTTCGACTTTTCAATTAAATCAACAATTTTAATTAAGCAACCATTACCGTATCTTCTTCTATTTCAACTGAATCCCCTTGGCTAGAAAAAGAACTGCGCGACGCGGCTCTTCGTCTAGCTTTGAAGCGTAAGAGTAACGGCCTCATTACTGGATGAGTTGGATTGTACAACATGATCAGTCTCTGCAAAACAAGAGATAAATAAACTTTTTGCTTTAAATTTTACGTTTCACAACATCAAGTTACCTTTAGAATATACACTCGTAGGGTCGATATATTACTCAACACAATATTAATATGGCTTTTGGCCATGTTAGAACTGTTTAAAAGGCTTTGAGTCAAGCTTGAGTCGCTCAAGCACAGTAAATAATCTGAAACAAATGGTTATTTACGATATGCAAGAATAACTTTTTTTTTCAACAAAAATTACTCACGCAAAGTTTGAGGACCAAAATCAGAATTATTTCCTGTATACATGGCTGATGCTTTTGTAATCACGCCTAATATTTGTGGACCCAAACCTCTGCATGCTGTCAGATAATTAAGGATACACCACATGTTACTTTGTGCAGCAATATTCATTGCAAACAACTCATCGTAAAATACATTTGTAGATAAAAAGTTACTGAAAAAAAAAGAATTGGGCTTGTTATTAAGTTTGTGCAGAAGCATTTTTTCTTTTAATCAGCAAGATTACAATGTACTTACAAAAAATCCTTATAGTCTTTGTAAATTACTTTATTGTGCGTAGACGTTGCCCTTAATGTAAGCTGCGTGAATGCAAGAACGCTCAGATTTGAAAAGTGTATTCTATTCAGTACCGACATTTCAGCAATGGAAGGACTCGATGAATAAGATATGAAATGACTCAAAAATTCAGAAGCATGACCCATTGATGCAAATTTTAAAATACTTTTTGATAATCGGCACTGAAAAAAAAAAAAAACATAATTGTGAAAGTGTTTTTCCGTTAAGGAATTTATGTAGGCATACACATAACTAATTTACCCCTGCAAGTGAGTATAACTCCATTGCCCTGCTAAACTCTCGATTGCACAAAACTATATCGCCAGCACACTCGATTAGCTGCTGCACGTTTAATCCAAATGTTTTGCCAAGCTTAGTTGCATCCTTAATTGCCCGCCTTTTTATTAGTAAATCCATAAAAAGTGATAAAAAAATATGTTCCCTGCGGACGAGTAATAATAATTTATGCAATTTAATATTAATTTTTTTTTTTAATGATTGGATCATAAACTGCTTACAAACCTGACAATAACTTTATATATGCCAAGATTAGTGACTATAATACACGTATCTATCGGTGGTAGAGAGATTTTGAGATCGACCACACCTTTTGGCAAATTGTATAGTTTACTCTCGTGATTCGTCAGATTGAGATCGCCAGTATTTCTCGAACTAGACAGAGTAAATATGCTGTTAACCATTTCTTCACTTTTATTGAAAGAAAAGCGAGCAACAACTGATTCTTTGCTGTAATCGGATCCATCTTCTTTCAAAACTTCAGATAAAATACGGGAAACTACATGGACGAAACGATGTCTCGTATCGGAAATGTAGAAAAATCCGTTTGTTAACAATATACTTTCACTTTGTTCTGGTATTCTGTAAATGTGGGATGAAAATGACGACATGCCATTTTCATGAATCTAAAAAATAAACAAGTCAAACTAATTTTTAAACAATCCTCAAGTGTAGTTTAACTTAGGTAACTTACCGTTAAACAATTTGCTGACGATTGCACTTGAGAGTAAATAAGTCGACCTGATTTCAAATATTGCGGAGAAATATATGTACCCGTATTCACCGCAACGGGAGTGGTACTATATCGACTGGAATCCAACTGACTAAAAAAATCTGTTTCGTTGCAATTTTCATTGTCACTAGATATAGCTCCAGAATCATGTACACGATTACTATTATCTGAAAAAAATTTCACATCGGAAATAAAATTTAAAACACTCTGCCAATATTTAATTTATAAAAATTTACCTGTGCGCGTTCCACATGACTCAAAATTACGATTTCTTTCGGCAAGTTTTTGCTTGAGTATTACAAGTTTCTCACTGACTTCCACAGATAACTGTTTCAGACCCTGCAATCTCGACCTTGCTGTAGGATAACCTTTGGTGTCTTCCTTGTCCACTTTATCTTCATTTTGAAAACGCTGAGGTTGTGATCCATTGTTTAAAGGATAAGTATATTTACTGCCTGGCTTTTCTAAAATCAAACCCCACTGTTCCCTGGACTGATTCGTTATTAACAACGTCACAGTGTCGAGCTCGGTATCCTGACAGATGAAAAAGCTGGCAACGCGTCCCTCGATTTTCGTAGCCCCTACTTTCTGGCCAGTTTCCAGATTAACAAATATTATTTCACCCTGGTCTGTGCCCAAAATACCGACATTACAAGGTAATGTTGCACCTTGCCACCATGCCAGTGCACTTGGTCTGAAAAGTTGTAAATTATTTAATTAAGTAAGCTCTCTAAAAAAAAATTTGAGAACAATCAGGCTCAAATAATTATCTCAACCTAGCATAATTATTTTGTGCATTCAGAGACGAAAAAGAAGTTATATCCTGAGTTGTCCACTTCTGATCTTGGGGATGATAGTCATCTACTAAAGTTCTGGCTGGGACAATGAACAGAGAACCATCGACAGATGCCACAAGCAGCCAACAGCCTTGCGGATCGAAGCACAAACAAGCTATTTTTTTCCTTACGCTTTGGAACCAAGGGACTCTCTTGATGACTGGTTGGCAGGAGTCCTTCAAGTAATAGAGCCCAAGATCTGAAGCTCCAGAGACAAAGGCCAAAAATTGTCCCTGGTGGAATTCGGACTGGGCTGCATAGTTGATGTCGCTTGCCTTAATCAGGCACCGAATATCGAACACTCCCTCTTGGCTCAAGTCCACTCCATTTTGCTGCTTGTTCAACAGCTTCATCTCTGCCATAGCATTTTCTTCGTTCTTCTGGAACATCGAGTCATATGTGTAATTGTCTTGTCAATCTTTTTTTTTATTATGTATATTGTACAATAAATGGAAGTGTTAAAGTACTTATGCCTGATAAAGTGCAAGAGTTAAAAGTTTAAAGCTATACAGTTGGTAATTTTATCACCAAAGTGATAAAAAATCTCTGCTCTCGATATCTCAAACTTGTAGTTTGCTAATGATTGACAATGAAAATAAACGTTTCAGGAGCATATAAAATATACAACAGCATCTGACTCTTGAGAAATCGCATAAATAAACAGATTTTATAAATAACATGTACATACCTATTATACTCTCCAATTATTGCAGGCAAAGTCCGTCAGGTTTGACATTTCGACCAAAAATTTTCCAAACGCTCTTTTCGTGTATTGCCCCAGCACACACATAGTTTCAATTGTCACAGAAAGGACCTGGTCGTCATGTGAATATTTAATTGGAGTTCCATTTTTAAGATTATAGTACCTAATAAATAAATAACAACGCACGATAAGCACTTGCTATGTAGGCGATTGCGAATGAGAAATAATCAGTCGAGGGTGTATTCCGCATTACGCAAACCCTGCAGTCAGGTGGGAACGTAAGCCGTTCTTGGCCACTCGGGTCAGCTTGGCCTGGCTCGGCCAATCGATTACATCGTTATTAAAAGGATATACCTACCTACCACTTTTAATATTAAAAAAAAATTTGGGTTATCTAAGTGGTCAACAGAAGCACTTTTTTACGTATAGATCATGGTAACGCCGCATAGTCGGGCAGCGCTACTGATGTGTACCGTCGTAAGTATAAGTATAGTGCCATATGGTCGATTTTATTAAACCATATAAGTAGAATATCTATACTTTTGGAGGTCTAATTTTAGGTGATAGATATATTGTAAACTTGCCGCAAATAGCACAAACAACTTTGACTTTTCATTTTATAACCATACAATTAGTTGCGGCTGGTTTACAACTGATTACATAGCTCTACTGTAAGTTAAATTGTAATAATTTTTTGGATCAGCGCCATCTAGCGGTCGTGATTTTTTTGGCCAAAAATTGCTTCTGAAATTCCGTAGGAGAGCTTTAGGCAGTTTAGCCCTAGAGCCATTTAATCACTTATAAACCAGCCGCAACTTTTGAAATAGATACAAAATAAATAATTAACGATGTTTGTGCTACTTTCGGCAAGTTTACAATTTATCTATTACCCGAAAGTATAAATATATAGGAGGTCGATATTCTTGTAAATCATACACTGCAAACTTGCCGCAAGTAGCACAAACATCGTTAATTATTTATTTTGTATCTCTTTCAAAAGTTGCGGCTGGTTTATAAGTGATTAAATGGCTCTAGGGCTAAACTGCCTAAAGCTCTCCTTCAGAATTTCAGAAGCAATTTTTGGCCAAAAAAATCACGACCGCTAGATGGCGCTGATCCAAATGATTATTACTACACTGAACTACTTATAGTAGAGCTATTTATCTAATTATAAACCAGCCGCAACTATTTTTATAAATATGAAATAAAAAGTTGACATTTTTTTGCTATTTGCAGCAAGCTTAAAATTTATCTTTTACCTGAAAATTGACCTTCAAAAGTATGAATATTTATATTAAAATTGTGAATTTCGTTTTACATAAAATAGTTAAAGCATTTGAATTTCGCGGGGAACGAATTATTTTCCGATTAGTGTATGTAAACGCTACTTTTACATTGACTGTCGCAACTGTATAAATGACAATACGAACACTGGCTTGGAATACCATTTTTAGGCCCACTTTTCGCAAAAAACAGAGAAAATGAAGACCGTTAGATGGGGCTGATCCTCATAATTTGTTTTTCGCGCACTATGTATATACATGCACTATAGTGTACGAAACTTTTGCGCCTTGCCCTGCAAGTCTGATGTCTCTCTTTCTGTCATCCGAATCGTTTGATAATTGAGTGCTCGGCATGTTTTCATTAAATATTGTTATCCGCGAATCAGATAAGATGCTATTGTTGCAGGGAATTCTGATTTCGAATGATAAATTCATAGATTTACCTATAGTATACACCAATAAAATATACTTTTAAACGTGAATTTGATTATTGAAATTTTTTTAACAATGAGTCGTATTAAGAGTCGTATAACATTTATATGAGCTATGAAAGTGCAATTTTGTAAAACTAAACGAGAAATAAATAAATAAATGACAAGGTGAGGAAGTATACCAGCAAGACATTTTTATTACTATAAATTATTTGACGATTAATGTTAAGCTCAACTATAATTATAGGAGTAACTTGTTCGACGATATCAAGGAAACAATTGATTAAGTGTAAAAGTGCGATTAAAAAATTTTAAACTCGTAAGGGATGTTTTTGCATAGAAGTACCGTTGATGATAATAACTAATCGATGAAAAAAATTTTCCCGATACCTATGATTCCGATAAACGCTCCAGAATCGATACTATACAGAAAAAGATGCTCCGATTGGAGATGAATTTAGGTATTAACTTTTGTTTGAAAGTGTGTTATTTATTCCATTACTTCAATAAATGACCTCAAGTTAATTTCGCTCTGGCAACTCACTTTAGTAATGTAACTTTAATTATTGCGTCAAGTACTTATGTATAAATTTTTGAAAATAAGCTTCAATTCCCTGCCCAATCTATCCGACATAGGTAGTTTAGTTGCAATTAAACGAAGTGACCGTGTTTGTTTGTGTTCAACTTCAACATATCCTTTCTATTAATAATTGCATATTCTATGGTCCAAGAGTCACGAGTCACTCCGACCGGACAACACACACAGTGTGCAAAATGCTTTCTCGTTCAATTCTTTTTGGATATATAGATATTAACAAAACGTTTAGTAAACATTGAAAAATTTGAAAAGTAGAAGTACAGTGTATGCACACATAGCACATTGGCTGAGCAGGCTGAGTAGAGTAGAGTAGTGGGTGGAATATGTGGTTGGTGCCGCCACTGCTCGACAAATTTCGACGATGAGGCACTGCAGGGACTGCAGAGGGCAGTCTGGCAGTGGTCGGCGCGTCCAAAACGTCGTTAGCTTTCAATGATTCGGCTTACCTGCACCAGCGTATACATACCTACCCTACTTACTATATATAATATATACTGTAACTACCGTACATTTTGAGTATAGGTACTTTTATATCTGTGCTCCGTCATTTACGTTTACTTATCTCATTATTTTTTCTGGTAGCGTGACTGTTAAGTATCTGTAAACACCACATGTAATATTAAATCGTAGTGTTGTTGTTGTGCAAATACCGTGCGGCAAATATTTAAAAAATAAAATAAAGCCAAAAGTGCGACAAATCAAATCATTATATCGAGAGGAAGCTGAGGAAGAAGAGACTGAAAGGAGAAGAGAGTACTTGACTAAGTACATGTGCAAACAGTCTACACTGAGTTGCAGGGGCGTGTGCGTCATCCTGAAAGCACATCGTCTCTCTCTATCTCCAAGGACTTCAAGTAAATCTAAGTGTTACTCTCCAGTGGCTTGTTAAAGTGATAAAAATATCTTGAGAGAAAGTTTTGTTTTGTATGTCGCCCTGAATTCCTTTTTATTTTTGGCGGGCCATACATTTACGGTGTATACACCACGCACGTCAGTATATTTATATCCTGAGTCCTGGTTACCGAAAACGTTAAATGCAAGGAGAAAAAGAGTGTGCGTTGTGCAGTACTTATACCTACTGAATAACAAATACATCTGCGGCGGAACGCGCGCCCTGTCTGGACATACATGTATATGTACCAATAATATATACACTCTGTTCTGTATATATATAACCTCTACAGAGTGCCACTTCTGTTGTGTTGTTGCTATTATATTTTTGTGTTGTTAAGAAGTATTTGAACAACTCTATTTTGGGAGGTACATCTAGAAAATCATTGGTTTTCTTCTGTCTTTACCATCAAGGTAAGCCGTGCTCAAGTATATTGTTTAATGGAAATTTTGTGTCGAATTTAATGGTGTATTTGGAACATACGGATCACTCAAGCTAGGTTTCTCTATGGTGGTTTTTGAGTACACGTGTGTTTATTCATTGCAAAAAAAAACAAATGATCATAAAATTTTATAAAACAGCGTGTGATACACCTACAATCACTTAGTCACTGATTCAAGGCTGTCCTTGTCTCTGTGAGATACAAATAAAGTTGATGTTAACAGGTGTGTTTCTAAGCTATGACATTTAAAATTTCTGCTGATCATGATTAGAGTTTTGTTAACACACAAAGTGATACAATTTACACGTTACGTAATTTAAAGTTTTTTTTTCAATAGTGAATTTAACATGACTGTTCGAAGCATAGGTCACATTTGTAGTGATTCATACATACTAAATACACTATGTTAGTCTACGTTTTGTATTTTTTTTTTAAAACATTGTTTTAATTACGTTGATTACTTGATTTCCAGGCAGCATAAGAATGATTAGTGGGTCTTTCAAATAAACTCTAACACAATGTCAAACAGAAGGGAAAAAGCAGCAAGTGGCTTTGTAAGTATATTACAATGGTTAACCAAAATAGTTTTCTATTATTTTGTCTCACATGTAGTTTGAAATCTTGTAATAATATTTTTCTGCATATTTTTATTTACTTTTTTAAAAATGTTACTGTTAAAAATAATTTGATCAGGAAATTAATAATCAAAATCCACCATGAAAAATAGTTTTTCCTGTTTTCAAGATTTATTGTACCATATGTATGTACTACGGTTTCATTGTATTCACACAGTGCTGGTTCTTTGATAACTTGTTCAGTGGTTATTGTTTGATAAGAGGAGACGAGCTATAGCACAACTTTTGTTAACTGATAAGGCTGCGATTGGTGTAGCAGTCTAGAAATTAATGTAGAATATCGGAGAAATAATTATCACTTGCAGTAAAATATCGCAATAATGGATAAAGCTCGGGATAAAGTAAAAAAAAAAATCACGAATGTCAGAAAATTAAAATATCAACTTGAAATAATTACGAGGATTATGTAAAAAGCTTGCAACTGGTATTTTGTAATATGTAAATAAATATGTGCAGTAACCGTGGTTTACTTACGTAAAAAAAAAAAAAAAAAAAAAACGCTATTATTCCAAACGTTTGAAAGTACACAGTGAAATGGCTTCTAATTATTTGAAGTTATCAGTGCAAATCCGGTCCGGTTCAGAAGTCCTTATACTCACTCAACAGAGTACTTATTAGACTACCGCAAATTGCTAAAGCGCAATTTGTCGTCGTTTAGTCTAGACAAGGTTGACGTCGAAATTCATACCAGTTGATGGATGAAAAAAAAATTCTTGCAATTTCTTTGTTTGTTTTTTTATTTTATTATATTTTTCTTTTTAATTAAAGTTAGTACGTATTTTCTAACTCTGTCCTCCTGAAAATCATAAAACCACTTTGGTACACCAGTTGCAACAACCCGTCCCCACTTGCCCCATTAAAAAAAAAAAAAAAAAAAAAATCTAAGAGCTCTTGAGCGAAAACTGTGAGAAACAGAGACGATTAGGAGGCCGTACCTCTTCAATAACGAGCAAACGAGAGGCTCGTGTTCTCTTCCCTCCCGATACGTATATATATATATATATATGTGGACATCTGAGGCCTCGTGGAGCAAACGAGAGAAACCGATGCTGCATACATATACGGGAGAGCCAAGAGAGCGAGAAAGGAGGGAAGCTGCGGAGAGAGACCGACCGTAATTTATGTATACCTATATATACATATATACTACTCTCCTCCGCGTGACGTCACGCGGCACTCGACTGAGGATGACCTCATAGACATATTTGCATTTATTTATTTTTTCGTTCCTCTTTTCATCCGCGTTAAGTTACACATTGGTATATAATAATATATTATATTTTGTTTGTGTTTTCCCGAGGTGTTCTCTCTCTCTCAGCTATTGACTTGTGTATAGGTATACTCTCGTCGCGTTGCTTTTCCCGTTTCGATACGCGAATTACCCACGCGCGATTTTAACGGGGAGATAAGCTTCCAGTGTTTACCACACACACGTTGAGCGAGAGAGGTCTGCTCTTACGTTTAATTAACCGAGCGAGCCATTGAGGTACTCTTACTCCTCGTTGGCCGTTGCCCGGCTGATGCATGCCCGTTCGCTCCTTTTTGCGCGTAGGTGTACACAGAAAAGCTTGCACACGAGTTTGTCTTTTTTTTTTTGGGTCATTTTTTTACGTTTGACTTGGTTTATATATATATNCACACACACACACACACACACACACACACACACACACACACACACACACACACACACACACACACACACACACACACACACACACACACACACACACACACACACACACACACACACACACACACACACACACACACACACACACACACACACACACACACACACACACACACACACACACACACACACACACACACACACACACACACACACACACACACACACACACACACACACACACACACACACACACACACACACACACACACACACACACACACACACACACACACACACACACACACACACACACACACACACACACACACACACACACACACACACACACACACACACACACACACACACACACACACACACACACACACACACACACACACACACACACACACACACACACACACACACACACACACACACACACACACACACACACACACACACACACACACACACACACACACACACACACACACACACACACACACACACACACACACACACACACACACACACACACACACACACACACACACACACACACACACACACACACACACACACACACACACACACACACACACACACACACACACACACACACACACACACACACACACACACACACACACACACACACACACACACACACACACACACACACACACACACACACACACACACACACACACACACACACACACACACACACACACACACACACACACACACACACACACACACACACACACACACACACACACACACACACACACACACACACACACACACACACACACACACACACACACACACACACACACACACACACACACACACACACACACACACACACACACACACACACACACACACACACACACACACACACACACACACACACACACACACACACACACACACACACACACACACACACACACACACACACACACACACACACACACACACACACACACACACACACACACACACACACACACACACACACACACACACACACACACACACACACACACACACACACACACACACACACACACACACACACACACACACACACACACACACACACACACACACACACACACACACACACACACACACACACACACACACACACACACACACACACACACACACACACACACACACACACACACACACACACACACACACACACACACACACACACACACACACACACACACACACACACACACACACACACACACACACACACACACACACACACACACACACACACACACACACACACACACACACACACACACACACACACACACACACACACACACACACACACACACACACACACACACACACACACACACACACACACACACACACACACACACACACACACACACACACACACACACACACACACACACACACACACACACACACACACACACACACACACACACACACACACACACACACACACACACACACACACACACACACACACACACACACACACACACACACACACACACACACACACACACACACACACACACACACACACACACACACACACACACACACACACACACACACACACACACACACACACACACACACACACACACACACACACACACACACACACACACACACACACACACACACACACACACACACACACACACACACACACACACACACACACACACACACACACACACACACACACACACACACACACACACACACACACACACACACACACACACACACACACACACACACACACACACACACACACACACACACACACACACACACACACACACACACACACACACACACACACACACACACACACACACACACACACACACACACACACACACACACACACACACACACACACACACACACACACACACACACACACACACACACACACACACACACACACACACACACACACACACACACACACACACACACACACACACACACACACACACACACACACACACACACACACACACACACACACACACACACACACACACACACACACACACACACACACACACACACACACACACACACACACACACACACACACACACACACACACACACACACACACACACACACACACACACACACACACACACACACACACACACACACACACACACACACACACACACACACACACACACACACACACACACACACACACACACACACACACACACACACACACACACACACACACACACACACACACACACACACACACACACACACACACACACACACACACACACACACACACACACACACACACACACACACACACACACACACACACACACACACACACACACACACACACACACACACACACACACACACACACACACACACACACACACACACACACACACACACACACACACACACACACACACACACACACACACACACACACACACACACACACACACACACACACACACACACACACACACACACACACACACACACACACACACACACACACACACACACACACACACACACACACACACACACACACACACACACACACACACACACACACACACACACACACACACACACACACACACACACACACACACACACACACACACACACACACACACACACACACACACACACACACACACACACACACACACACACACACACACACACACACACACACACACACACACACACACACACACACACACACACACACACACACACACACACACACACACACACACACACACACACACACACACACACACACACACACACACACACACACACACACACACACACACACACACACACACACACACACACACACACACACACACACACACACACACACACACACACACACACACACACACACACACACACACACACACACACACACACACACACACACACACACACACACACACACACACACACACACACACACACACACACACACACACACACACACACACACACACACACACACACACACACACACACACACACACACACACACACACACACACACACACACACACACACACACACACACACACACACACACACACACACACACACACACACACACACACACACACACACACACACACACACACACACACACACACACACACACACACACACACACACACACACACACACACACACACACACACAC